AAAATCTAGGTATGCTGTTATGTGGAAGGACGTCACACATGTTCTGATTTATTTCCCTCACAGAGCCTCAGCAGAAGTTAAATCTACCTCAGCACTTTTGATGTGTTTTTTAGCGCGACTTTGCTGAAAAACATAAATAATGGAAACTATACATCACTGTCACAGCTGCTGCATTTAACCCACCGATTAGATACGCCATAAAAAATAAGAAGCATAACCACATGATGTATAGGAAGGTGCAGCTCACCAGGGACATCATCTGTAGCCTGAAGGGTCGGTGCTGCTGCTGTAGGCGTATCAGCTCTCCCCCGACCACCTTAAATGAAAATGAGTCGCTCGAGCCTTCCATCATTCTTATCTTCATGCACACGTAAACGAGATGAGTAATCCGTGACTCACCTTGAGCAGCGATCTCCTGCATCTCCTTCAGAAAGTTTTGATGACGAAGGATAGTAACAAGTCGGTCATCTGCACACACACACACACACACACATTAAAATGCAAACATAACAGTGAAGAAGAAGAAAAAAAAATAGCAGATAAAAGGCAGGGAATCGATGCTGTAGGGGGTAAATCACAGGTGTACATCTTTCCCTTTTCACTGTTTTCAAAGGATTCAGAGACACGTTTTTGTGGATTCATCAGAGTTAATTGCCCTGGAATTTACTGCTTTCAAAGCAAGAGCACAATTAATCATTTGGCCCACAGAGACTCCCACAGCAGCAAGCGAGCACTTGGACTTTCTGCTGACCCACAAACAGCACTGCATATAGCATGCAGCAGCAGGAGCAAGAGACAGACACTGTACTGTATCATGTTCTTGTATCAATCAGTGATCTCTCTTTTCCTTTTACTCCTCCTCTCCATTCTCCTTTCTTTCCATCCCCTACGGTGGTGTACAGTTTCCCGCTCACAGCACCCGCTCAGTAGCAAACGCTCGATGAGTAAGGCTGTGATCGATTTTTTTTGTGTGTGTGTGTTTTTTTTTATACAACAAGGACATCAAGGTAAAACACCATCTATGTAACTGAATCGTCTTTACCGAGTCCTAGTGACCTCTCTGAATAAAACACTCTGCAGCAGACTTTTACCCAGCATTCACTGCATCAATCCATTAACCTTATGATCAGAGCGCTATGCACGCGTTACGAGAGAACGGTGGATTTCTTCTAAAATACAGCACTTTTCCAGCAAGGCCTGGCCTCTTAATCCGCTCTTTTATATGGGAATGACAGCTGTGAGGGTGGGGATGATGATAATAACTGACCAGGGAAATCTGTATAAATCTATAAACAGGGAGCGACCTCTACCAGTGCCCTCGCAAATCGGTAAAGGTTAGAAATGATGTAAACATACATCCATTTTTGATTTTATTCCCATGGGGCCAAATCAGAAAATATGATATCCCAAGACATTTAGCATAGTCAGATTAAGAGAGCCATCAGTTTTGTGATGAGCAAGCACTTGGCAACAGAGGGGAAAATACATTATAGCTGATTAGACCCTCAGATTAATGGAATGTAAAACTAAAACCTAAAACACTGCCTCGATGGGGCAATATGAAGGAAACGCACTGTGTTTCTGCAGCATGTTTAAGATATGAGGATGTTAAGAAAAGGTCAGCAGAGAGGATAACACCATCCAACAGTCTGGGAAATGTTTTTATGTGAAAATCAAAGTTTTATTGGTGTTTTTAGATGGGACTAGATAATAGCCAGACTGTGGGTTATCTTACAGTCCTTATGTGTATGCAGCCTGTGTGCAGTAGAAGAAGAGACATGCTTCAGTTTTAGGTAATATTCTAACACGTAATTGCAAAATCAATTCTTTTTCATTAATAACTCATTTTTTACGTGCATGTTGCCTGTGCTAATTTAAGCTATCAATGTAGTTGTTTGCAGCACTGAGCCATGTTAACAGCCCCTTTTAATAATAAAGGACATTTGATTATGCTCAGTGTTGCCGAACTGTCTTCCTTCTTTTGCTTACCCGTCTTCAGTGTGGCCAAACACTCCTGACTGACAGGCATGGGGTGTGGCCTCGATAGGACATCTGCCAG